ACATTCGGACAGCGTAGCACTCATTGTACAAATCCACCTCCAACAAAACCGCACAGATCTGGCCACGAAAGAGGCCCAACGCGCACGGAAATGGGCACAAGACAGTCTGCTAGTCAACATTGCTGAGAGCTGGGTTGGCATGCGCGAGGTAGGTCCCCTAATACATCATTGTCACATGTCATGGCACTAACACCACACTCAGGGCGGCGAGAAGTACCAGTCCGCATTCTACGTCTTCGAAGAACTAGCCACAACCGCTCAATCCACCTCCCCACACTCGCTCGTCGCACAGGCCGTATCGGAAATTCACCTCGGCCGCCTCCCAGAAGCCGAAGCCGCTCTCCAACAAGCCATTTCTATCGACGGCACCTCGGCCGACACAATCGCAAACCTCATCGTCCTCAACACATTGCTTGGAAAGAAGGAAGAGACTGAGCAGCTGAAATCACAGCTGCAAACATCGGCCCCACAGCACAGGGCAGTCGCAGATTGGGCGAGCAAGAAAGCCGAGTTCGCCAGTGCCGCCGCAAAGTACACACCAAAGTTCGAGGTTGCTTCATAGGAGGAGGACGCCTTTGCGCACTTGGTGTCTACAGGAGTGGTGTATCAAGACGTGGATGCTATGCAACGTAAGCCCAATATCAGGCCTGGAGCGACAACATTCGACGGCGCTACTTAGGACAAGCGGAATACCACGATTGTGGAACGAGAAATTACGAATATGTGGAAGCATCCGACGGTGCAAGACTTGGAGGCTGCCAGTACGTGGGCATTCGATAGCGATGATGAAAGTAAGGAATATTATAAGAACAAATAGACGACATTGCAAGCATGTTATATTAATACCTTCATGGGTTGAAGCGGTATAACGAACACAGAGAAGCACTCGTTGTGTCCTCAACGCGCTGATATTTCAGACAAAGTAAGGTTGACGAAGTACAACTCGATGAGTATTTACACCTAGAAAAGATCGAGATCTTCAACCGGCACAGAAGACATACCCTCACCTAACCCCTTCGTCATCTCACCATACATGATGCCATCCACATAGGTCTCCCCAATAAGCTGATACCCCTTCTCAAGCGGTCTCAACACGACCGGCACCTTACAGCCCAGTAGCACAACCACCTTATCCCCAGGCTCTACAGTAGAAGAACCAACCCCAAGATAACCCCCCTCAGTCGTATAAACAAACCTCTCATAGCAGACCTGCCCAGCACTATGCTCAAGCGCAGTCCACAATGGATGGAACGGTGCCGATACCGAGAAATCAAATCCCCCTCTTTCTCCCGAGCCTTCTCGGGAACTCGACGCCTGCGCTTTATTCTGTGCATCTACCAAACCAGCCTCGACATGCTCATGTAACTCCAAGCCATCCAACTCCAGATTTCGCATACTGCGCCACGCACGCTCGAAACCTGATGCTCGCATGTAGAAGGGAAGAGGCCGATCGAGAGTGTTGTCAGCTTCATACGGTGCTGTCGTGTCCCTCAGCTCATGCCACCGTTTCGCGAAGACGGTTTTGAATTCAGGAGGAGGTGCGCCCCAGGCACCCATGCGATTCGTATTCGCAGTCACTGTCCTGACCAACGCTTCAAAGGCAGCAGTTTGTGTTCCGTACGCGTTTTTCTTGCATCGAGATTGGCGGAGAGACGTTGGGTTTTCTGTCCACCATGGATCGCCTGCGACGCCATCCACGGTATCGATGACGACTCCCTTACACCTCAGAAAGATGCCAGGTTCGATCCTGTCGCTCGAAATAGTCGCAACAGCCGCCGCGCCACCCGCCGCATCGAAGAACGGCCACTGCTTCCCCGTGTACAGCGAAGTAAGCATATACTGCGGTTTCGAAGGCCCCCAATCCGGGAGCCAAGAAGGGAGCGCATGATACGCCCTCGGTTGCATACCCGCAAGGCAGACGACATAAAGATCTTGCTTCTGCTTGATGAACTCTTTCAGGAACGTGAACCAGATGTCCTCGGCCTTGGCATCGTAATCCGGCGGACACAACTCAATCAACTCGCGTCCACTGAGTCCAATCTTGGCAAATAGGTGATCCCGCGGGTCTGTCGCGTTGGTCAGTCTAGTCATCTGCAGTGTGGCCAAGGCGGAAAGCTGTTCTCCTTCTTGCAGACGCCGGCGTAGGTTCATTAGGTTTCGGGCTGGGTCTAGCACGCGCGGGTTGATGTCTACGGCTCGTGTGAGAGCGGTGACGCGCTCGTTCTTTGAGGGCGTGAATTCCATGAAGATGAGGTGGTCGGCTGCTTCTAGGGCGTCGGCGGAGAGACGTCGCGTGCCGCAGATGAAGACTACGTCTTTGGCTAGGGCGAACTCTTGTACTATCCTGTGAGGTGGGTGTACGAAGTCAGTCAATGTCTCATATGCTGTTTGTATAGAGATAGTACCAACCATGCTCTTTTCCACCAGTTTCGCGCCATTAGGGTCCGTAGGCCTTCCCATGTGGGGTATGTATCCGGATGCATGCCTTCGTTTCCAAGCCACGGTCCGATACCTTCTTCGTTAGAACGACTAGCTAGGTTGGCGAGAAAGTCCATGGCCAGATTACTTCCTTTGGCAGGCGGACCCAGCCACGCCCACACATTCGTCGCGTTGGAGAAGATTTGCCGCATGAGCGTGACTTGGATGTTGCGCTCAGGTATGTTATTCTGGTCTATACACAGGGCATCAGCCCAGATACACTGCGGGACTTCGAGACGGATAGACCGCAGTGCTTTGGCTAGATTCTGGTGGAGGAACGTCTCGTGTCCGTCCACATCCACGGATTCGAGCAAATCATCGTTGTCGTCGTTGCCTTCAAGCTTGGACGCCCACGTGTACGAAAGTGCGGCGTAGGACGCTTCTGGGTGTTCTACGTTGTCGTGGAAGACGTGCACTCGCAGTGGGGCGGTTATTGATACGGCAGGGATGAGGATTAGCAGCCGAAACTCTTTCTCCGCTAGAGGTCGGTACTCTAGTAGCGAAGACATGATGGCCGCCGCGGAGCTTGCGGTATGCTAGGGGTTGGTCATTGCTTCTAAACCCGGGTTTCTGGGAGGCCGGTCTTTAAACTAGGTCAAAGTCGTGGCATCGGCTAGCTGTTTGCGTAGGAATGCTCAAGTGCTGACGGGCGCAAGTGGTGTGATGTCACAGACAGGTGCAATACCAAGGACTGCCTACGTTCAGCCTTATCAGCGTGGAAGGATCGTTGAATGAGAGAGCATATGAAGCCACAGTTGTTAAGACTAGATGTACCTAGTAATTTTCCGTTGGTTGACGTGAAGTTGATAGATCATGCTATCGTGATGTTTACCCCACAGTGACTGTGAAGGACCCTGGTGCACGAGCCACCCGGGTACGGATTAGATATCGCGCAAGGCTGAAGGATATCTTCGCCCCCACACTCTTCTCGTATCTGTAATCAGTTTAGTAGGACGGATCCAAGCTGACGAGGAAAGAGACTCATCTCTTCAATTGGAGGGCTCGACTTGATGGAGTTTTCTGTAGATTCCAGGATCTGATAGCCGCGGGAGACGATACAAACACAGTCAAACAGCCTGCGCACCATAGCTGTACGCGCGAGATGCTCCTGATTCAGTACGAAGAGTACACACTTCGATGGCTACCATTGCAGTCGGCTCTGAGGACTAGACGGACTTGACAAATTCAGACGATCAGTTTTTCTGTGAGCTGAGAGGCTCTCGTGAGGCTTTGGAAGTAGTACCTGGGTACCTAAGTTGAAAGCAAGATCTTAGCCTGAACAATACATATTACACCAACAATATCTGGCGTACATGCCCGTAAACATAACTATGCCGGTTCATCTCAGTATAATGAGTATACAAGGCCTTGGGATCATTTAGCGAGGTAGGTATCAGTAAGGCCACCGACCAGCCTATTTCCAAATTCCGCGCCCTCGCCAAAGATGGCCTCAGACACGCCGCCAGAATACTAAGATCACCACTACATCGCGCGAACAAACATCGCATCGGCCCCGCGTCTGCGAAAAAAGCGGATCCAGATAGACACGCAAGATCCACGTGAAGCGATTAGATAGGTAATCTTAGAACATCCGCATGCCCGCGCCGCCACGCCCGAGCGGTCAACGGCATGCGCAATTTTTACTAAAACCCTTGCATACAACAGGATGATATGTACGTGCCGTGCATACGGGAAAGTCATCTTCCTGACAGCAAACCCGTGCGGCATGCGTGCGCAGCTGCACGCAAGGCAAGCCAGCCAGGACCTGATCGACGCGCCACGCGCATTTAGCGGTAGATCAACCACGGCACCGGATCTGATGGAATTTCACCAACCTTGACAGCTTGACAGTACCATCCTTCGCTGTCCGCGGTGTCCATTTACGCCGGGCGGTAAAAGACGCATGATGTTGCGTAGGGAGAGGGATAATCCCACTTTCTAATAACACATCATACAATCGCGTTATCTGACACGTAACTTGCTGAGACAAGGGGGGTTGCATACCTGCAACTCCAACTGTTAGTGGCGCCCGGGAGCTGATACATCCGGAGCTCGATGGCTCCATCTTGGAACGAAGCTTAGCCTGGCTTGCCAGCCAATGCGGGACAGGCTGTGTCTCCATCCGTCTGCAATTTGCAGCTACCTATGCCCGTTGCGGTAATGTGGGTGGCTGATTCTGGGACGGATTCGGTATCCTGGAGTGCAGTTGTGTGGGTTGGGATGATGGGTCCTGCTGCACGGCGCATTTTTGTTGTGTGTTGCGGCCAGAGAGGGCGCGTTCGGCGGCCGAACGTAGGGAATGGATCGTAGAGATCCCGCGCCGCAAATTTGCCTTGCGGGTGGATGTGTGGAGAGGGAGATTGTGTGTTTGTTTGCCGTTATAGATCTGTATCTTTTGTCCTCACGTTCAAGTCGCGCATACGTTCGTTCGTTGTCCTTCGCTGTACATTGCCCGAATACCACGCTACCCAAAGTTTCCGCTCCGTCCGCTTTCGGAACCGCCACGCTAGAAGCACATCGTCATGTCTGAGGTCAGGATAGACACCGAAAGCGCTTTCGACGTGCAAACACCGTTGCTCGAGAAGAAAAAGATGGTTGTAGGAGTACCGCCGGTGTTTGAGAGCCTCACGAAGCAGCTCGACAAGATTGTAGAGCAGCCACTACTCGGCCCGAAGACCAAGTTCCCCGCAGGTAGGAAACCTACTGAGTTCTGGTGGCGAATGTAAATTGACCAGCTGGATAGCTACGTTTGCGTTTGCGCGTAAAGATGTGTCAGGCAGGCGGCTACCGCAGGCTATTGCCCATCGAGGGTACATGGCCAAGCACCCCGAGAACACTATGGCCTCGTTAAGAGGAGCGGTCGAGGCAGGCGCAGATGCTCTTGAGACAGACATTCATCTGACGAAGGACGGTGTAGTCGTATTGTCGCATGTGAGTTTATCAGATCTTACCCCGATCGTATACTGACCATTCTGTAGGACAGAAACTTGAGAAGATGCTTTGGCAGGCCCGAAAAAGTTATAGATTGCGACTATGAGTTTATAAGCAAGCTGAGAACGCTGCAAGCACCTCATGAGCCGATGCCTCGTCTTATTGATTTGCTCGAATATCTTGCGCAACCTGGATTGGAACATATCTGGGTATTGCTCGATATCAAGGTATGTTGTGCTAGCCGAGTTGTACAAGCACTTGCTGACGCGATACAGCTCGATAACGATGCCGACGATGTGATGCGCTTGATTGGTGAAACAATCAATAGCGTGCCTGCTGCTCCATCCAGACCGTGGAGTAAGCGCATTGTGCTTGGGTGCTGGGCAGCCAAATTTCTTCCGCTATGTTCGCGATATCTGCCCGGCTTCTCGATTTCGCATATTGGCTTCTCAACACTCATTGCGTCACATTTCTTCAGTGTGCCGAACGTCTCGTCCAATATGGCCCAGGCCATCCTCATGACGCCATGCGGCAAGATGTTCATTCGGCGAGCTCAGGGCGACGGTCGGCCCGTGTACGGATGGACGGTGAACTCGGAGAGCCGGATGCGTTGGGACATACGGCAGGGCCTCGACGGCGTGGTGACGGACGACCCGAAGCTATTTCTGGAGGTTCGGAGGTCATGGCACGAGGGAACCAAGGACGGCGTGACGATGTTGATGTGGCTGGATGTGCTGCGGTACAACTTCTTCTGCATGATCTATACCTTCTTGTTCCAGTGTTATTTTGGATTTCAGGGCAAGTCGTTAGTCAGGATAAGGGAAGAAGAGGAGGAGCAATAGGTAGCAGTATGTGAATATTAACAACAAGCTTTACTATTGTGGGTAGTGGTAATGTGGTGATTATTCACGATCGTGGTGGTGTCAAGGCAATGGTGTTGTGGAGAGAGCTATGACGGCAGGGTCCAAACATTTGGCGACCCGACGCGTGCACCCCGCCCAGAGCGCGTCCGCATCCCACCACGTCGTCGCTGACCACCACCACCATGCCTAGGTACGCGCGCGTATATCTCAGACTGCGGTCACATGGTGTAGCTAATCTGTATCAGAGAAATAATAACACTGCAGGCGGGCCAGTGCGGCAACAGCGTCGGGCAGCAGTTCTGGCAGCAGCTGTGCCAGGAACACGGCATCAACCGCGACGGCAACCTCGAGGACTTCGCGACCGAGGGCGGCGACCGCAAAGACGTATTCTTCTACCAGTCCGACGACACCCGCTACATCCCCCGCGCCATTCTTTTGGATCTCGAGCCCAGAGTGCTGCACTCGATCCAGTCGAGCGCCTACAAGAACATCTACAACCCCGAAAACTTCTACATACACAAGGATGGCACCGGCGCCGGCAACAACTGGGGCATGGGCTACAGCATGGGCGAGCAGGTGCACGAGGACATCCTGGATATGATTGATCGCGAGGCAGACGGCTCCGACTCGCTCGAGGGCTTCATGATGCTGCATTCCATCGCTGGCGGCACGGGGTCGGGTCTCGGCTCCTACATGCTCGAACGCCTCAACGACAGGTTCCCCAAGAAGCTCATCCAGACCTACAGTGTCTTCCCCAACACGCAGGACGGCGACATAGTGGTCCAGCCATACAACAGTCTGCTGAGCATGAGAAGGCTGACGCAGAATGCTGACTCCGTGGTAAGCTGCCCAGTGCTACTTGCATATATCCATACTGACCTCCCAGGTTGTCCTCGACAACGGAGCCTTGACCAGGATCGCTGCAGACCGACTGCACGTTATGAACCCGTCGTTCGAGCAGACCAACCAGCTGGTGTCTACCGTCATGTCCGCCAGTACCACGACCCTTCGCTACCCCGGATACATGCACAACGATCTCGTTGGCATCGTCGCCTCGCTCATTCCCACACCGCGCTGTCACTTCCTCATGACTTCATACACCCCCTTCTCTGGTGAGAACGTGGAGCAGGCCAAGACGGTTCGCAAGACAACCGTCTTGGACGTCATGAGACGACTGTTGCAGCCTAAGAACCGCATGGTCTCCACCAACCCCACCAAGAAGAGCTGCTACATGTCTATCCTGAACATCATCCAGGGAGAAGCGGATCCCTCAGATGTATGTTTCTCCAGATTAATTTCATGCATCTAGCTCACCAACTTCAGGTACACAAATCGCTTATGCGCATCCGCGAACGACGTCTCGCTACGTTCATACCCTGGGGCCCCGCTTCCATTCAAGTCGCGCTGACCAAGAAGTCGCCCTACGTGACCTCTTCGCACCGTGTCTCCGGACTCATGCTCGCAAATCACACGGGTATCGCCACGCTCTTCAAGCGCATAGTCGCACAATACTCCACCCTCCGTAAACGCAACGCCTTCCTTGAAAGCTACAAGCGTGAAGTGCCTTTCAAGGATGGTCTCGGCGAGTTCGACGAAGCTAAGGAAGTCGTTCAAGGTCTGATTGCAGAATACGAAGAGGCCGAGGATGCCGACTACTTGACCAAAGAGACGGCGCCGCCTGCAGATGAGGAAGCTGACAAGAGAGTCGGCTAGAAGTCACCTGAGCAATTATTGGATTTGGCATCGGCGTCATTGGATGGTGCAGTGGAGTCAAGGGTACCCGACTTTGAAATCTCTTTCGCGGCGTTGGCGGACACACGACGTAGGCCACAGATTTGTCGTCGGTGGGGAGTTCGTTCATCCCCGTTTTAAATCAATCGTTGTCCTGATCGTGGTCATCATAGCCGGATCTACCACGAGTATTGCAGTTTCTGTGAGCGCAGACTTTCATGAGAAGGCACCCGGTGTTTGTACGCAAGAGCTATGACTTTACATCACTAGTAAAGGTAAAAGCTTTCATGTTTTCTACATCTGGTTCGCTCTAGGCAACAGTCTATTTTCTGGCCTATCGGGCGTCGCCCAATTACCTGTGAGATTCGAGTGGCTGACCTGGTAACTCAACTATAGAACCTTGGGTGAAGGTGAGAGAGCAAAAAGTTACTGCGCGCTAACTCTAAGGCAATAAATACCTCTAACCAGACTTTTACTCCCTCGCACCTTCCTTCTCTACAGCGGAACTACTACTTGTTTGACTTGACCTTCCGCCACGACTATTACCACCTCAACAAGTCTCTCAGTATGTCATCTCCACAGTTGCTCCCAGAAGACACAGTCAAGCGCCTCAAAGTCAGGGACGCGTCTCTTGTTGGCGGGGAGAACAACGGCACTAGAAAAATCTCCCTCGGCCTCCTAAGCCCACCATCGTCAACTACTTCAAGAAGCGCGTCCAACTCGTCCTCATCTTCGGAAGAAGTCGTGTACATCTCTGTTCCAACTCGACTAGATTCCGCGCAGACTCTCGAGTTCATGGGGTTGACTCCAGACAAATCAAAAGCACTATACGCCAGCAGACAACACAGGCAGCAGATTACGCACACGAACATCGACTTACAACGATGGGTAATCGAACACGTCGTCTACATATGCGCAGACATACTTGACGAGGATGATGATTGGAAAGAGAAGATGACAGATGCCGGCATCAAGCAAGAAATTTCTGACGCCCTTATGAAAGATGAGCACCGTGTGATCCGGGGAGTTCAGTCATTATCCGAGTGGCTTGAGGAAATTCTTGAGACCAATTATCTCGCACTGGTAGATATGAACGCCCGCATATTACAAGAGCTAGCAGCCCCACCAGGTGTACATCTGAGGGGAGGAGCAGGCGAGCCGTACACCGTACCCAACGCACCTGGAGGACACCTCGCGCTTTATAAGAGTGTTGAAATCAGAAGATGCGAGGGTTGCATAGCAGAGGATGGATCAGTAAATCTCGCACGACTGGAGTCCTTAGGACCAACAGACTTCGCAAGACGAGGAGGACTGTATTTCACCCACCAAATTTGGGTCTCCAATCACTACTCTTCGCTCATCAGGGACGCTTGTCCGGTCGCTGATCGGCGGACGGTCGAACTCCACATCCCGCTGTCCCACCTTGCAGAGATGAAGGTTTGGGATCTGAAGTTCGAAGAGGATAACTTCAAACAACTTTTGTTCTTCTCTAGGCGCGACGAGAAGTACCCGAAGCCGATCTCACAATTACGCGCTGCTCACGGAATCATCGCCGGACCTATTGGACATGTTCACAATCTGGCGTTTGGGAAAATGAAGAGCTGGAAGGATATCACTGAAAAGCATCAGCTCCAAGAGCGGGAGACGGTCGTCGATGGCAAAGGCAACGAGAAGGAGATTGTGAAGTACGGCAGGCAATGGGTTTGGATTGGCGAGAACTCCGTTGAGCAGCTTGAAGAGGATTGCAAGGACAAGGTGTATCTGCGTCGGCCAGAGCAGGGCCTCAAGTTGGTGCCCCAACCTTGGAAAGACGAGTCGGTGGAGGGCAAGGATATCATGGAGTAGCTAGCTCTTTGTCCATGACAGAGTTATACTTGGCGGATCTCTGAAGGTACGAGCCTTCCCCCGTGTTCAGCCGGGATTAAAAGTCACTTCTTTGCGCTCTACTCTCATAAATCTGTTCCATACAAAACTGATTACATTCCTCATGTTGTGACGCGCGCGGTTGGCCTTGAAATCCCCTTTGTATGGTAGCGAGCGCATGATTATCGATCCGTCGAGGTCTACCAAGGACCGCCTTTCCAAGGCAGCCATTCACTGGCTGTATGATTGTAGGCGTGTAGCAGATGGACCGTGGTACCGTGATTGGAAAGCTGTGGTGATTGGCATTCTTTTGCATCTCTATTGCTGACCCAAATCACTTGAATGGACAACCACAGGTCAGTGCATTGAATCCCAGGAGTGAACAGCAATGCTTCACTCCTACACGTATAAAGCGTACGCAGTTTCCTCCTTGCATGAAATACCTTCGTAGCAAGTCAACTGTACCTACTAATCTACGACAACGCCCACTACCAAGTCAACCAACTACAACAATACAAAACACCCCTTAGGAACAGCCCAAGACACCAAAGCTTTCCCCCAAAATGTTCGCGTTAAGCATCCGCTCCATCACCAACTCCAGAGTCGTTGGCCCCCTAGCCATCTTCGCCCTCTCCACGCAAACCCGCACCCTTTACTTCTGCGGTCCCAAGCAAGGCGATCACGATGCCGACCTACCCATCTCCGAACACTACCACGCCCGTCTACGAGCATCGGCGGATGTAAAACCAAGATCCACCGCAGACTTGGCACCACCAACCACTACGCCCACCCGTCCTACTCCTCCACCACCCACTCAGCCTACCACTACAACAGACACAATCCCCACCCTTCGTATCTCTGTCACGCACGCGCCACCAAGTCTATCAGCCCGGCATACACTGTCGCCTGCCAACAAGGTTGAGTACTATAGGAAGGCGTTTGGGCAGATGGAGGCGGCGACTCGTGATGGGGCTACGGACTACAACAACACCCTTGCCATTATCCAGGAGATTGCACGGTTACAGTTTGAGCTTAGGAGGGGCCAGGTTGAGGGGAAGCCTCTTGAGGAGTTGGAGAAGGTTAGGAGGGATATTGAGGATTTGAGGTGTGTGTTTGAGAGGATTGGGAGGAGGTGGGGGATCTAGGCTTGAGGAACGTAGGGCGGTGTTGGAGATTGTGGATATGTGTGGTGTTGTAAAGGATGGTTTTACAGTAGCTTTGGGGGATGGAAGTCTTGAGATCACGATGAAAGTTATATCTGAACAGAAATGAACGTTCTTCGAAACTAAACCAAAATGCAAAACGATGAGTGGTATACAGCACATTTCCCACCTCCTTCCAACGCAAAAACAACGCCTCTCCAAGCCTCACTGCCTCTCATATCCATGCAGCAATCATACATGCCCATCCCATCCCCCTCATGCCCCATTCTTATAACCCAACCCCCCAGCCTTCACATCAAACTCAATCAACTCATCCAGCCCACAAACCTGAAACAACTCCCTCGGGCCATACCTCTTCCCATCCCCCTCCACACTCTCCACATGCCCCGCCTTCATCTGCTGCACCGCCTTCCTAACCGCAGGATACACAACCTCGCAGGCCAGCAGCGGGAAAATAGCAAGCTTATACCCCATGGTCTTGCATTCTTCGACTGAGAAATCAGGGGATACGCCGCCGGGGACGCTGTTGAAGAGACAAGGTGTGGGAGATAGATCGGAGCATATGCGCTGCGCGTCTGAGGCGGTTGTCACGCCTTCCAGGAACGCCATGTCTGCGCCCTGAGCGACTGCCGCACTGAGACGGCGTAGGGCTTCTTCGTACCCGAATCCTTGCAACGCGTCCGTTCGAGCGATGATGACGATGTCACCGCCACTTGCCTCCCGCGCTAATCTCGCAGCCCGGATCCTCGCTTCAAACTCCTCGATGTCGACGAGTTGCTTGCCGTTGAGGTGCCCGCACCGCTTACTCACGATCTGGTCTTCGAGGTGCAGGCCTGCGACGCCCGCGCGGATGTACGAGGTTACTGTGCGGCCGACCATGACGGGGCCACCGTAGCCGGTGTCTGCGTCGGCGATTAGGGGCGTCGAGGGCGAGAGGGAGGCGAGCATTGTGGCGTTGGTGAGCATGTCTGTGAAGGTGGCTATGCCCATGTCGGCGGCGCCGAGGCGGGACATTGTTGTTCCTGCGCCTGTCTGGACATGTGTTAGTTGGGTTCGTTTGGTGTTGTTTGATATCGTGAGGGCGATGTTGGTGGATATAGAGATGGGGAGATGGGGGAGACGTACCATGTATAGACAGTCTACGCCTTCTTGGAGGGCTATCCGCGCTGTGAAGCCATCGTATACTCCGGGACAAGAAAGGAACTTGTTTGGATCCGCCAGCATGCTTCGCAGTTTCTCGACGGCCGTCATCTTCCTTTCTGTTTGTCCTGCTTTGCTGGATCCCATACTGCCTTCTCTTCTTTCGCTTTGAGAATGCCGATAACAACGATAACCCGACTCTTTACTGTGCACGCGCAACCAACTCTTTCTTAATACCAGAAGCAGCAAATGCAATCAATTCAAGGGGTATAGTATCCTCGTCAGGCATCAAAACGAGCAAGAAGGTACACCCGACAGCCTGACTTTAGCCCGCTGAGACTCGGCGTCTTGCGTATACACTGTGGCGGGCCGCAACAAGTAAGGCTGGGCTACCCACGAATAGTCGACCAGATGCGGCAGCGATGGCCTTACGTACCCGTCCTGCGAACTAGGATGCTGTCAACCCGAAAAGCGACCGCGGATTTGGGAACAGTATCTAATCATTATCAACCAACCGGATCTAACTCCTACAGCCTTTATATAGAAAATCTAATAGCTAACCTCGAAATAAGCATTAAGGAGTAAAGGAATAGTAACCACACCACTTATTTTCAGTTGAGAGGCTACGCCGCAGATATGCAGACCCGTGTATGCCCTTCCCCCCGTCTTTCTCGGCCAAGTACTCCGTAGCCATTTGCGTTTATGAAAAGATCTTCTTTTTGCGATGGCGAAAGCGAAAACTCCGTTCGGATGAACATTCAACCAACCCTATAACATCTAAAATAGTGAAAAGTGCACAACCCACAAACGTCATATCCACAGCTCGAGACGATGCGCAAAACACCAAGCGAAAAGCCGCAGCCGTGGTGGTGACCACCCCCGCAACAAGCCCTTGTTCCTGCTGCTGACGTAGTGTGGTGCCGATGTTCGCCGGCAGTTTGACCGGTAGGAGCGCCATGCTTGTCCCTTCTCACTGGTCAGACAGGACTGCGAAATTCAGTTTCGCCGATGTCCATGGTCGGCGCGTTGGAGGCGGGAGGCGATATCGTATGAGATAGGATTTGGAGGATGGAATGCCCCGTTGGGTATGCTGGCCGATGCCGAAGTCTCCTGGGTAGGCGAGCGAGCGCATGGGGGGTTGGTGAGAGGGGTAGACTGGGATTTAAAGTGAGCTGGCGGCCGGCATGGCGGTTGCTTTGGTGTTTTGTGTCGGTTCCTCTTTCCTCCTCCACCTGGGTACACGCCTTTGGATTGTGGTGCACAAGGCGCCGCTAGTGGCCCATCAGGGTCAGGCTGCGCGATGAAGGCACTACAGGTGATCGCACCCACGTTTTGCTTTTCCCTGCAAGGTTCGTCTTGTACCTGTCAGACTGTCCCCACTGGAAGAAAAGACCCTTTGTTATCATATACGCCTTGGTAATTCATCTCCATCGCGTTCGGAGTTCGTTCGGTCAGGCCGGCACACCACCCCAGCTCTTTGGCGTCGCGCCTGTTCCCAGGAAGATGCAGCGTGCATCGAAGCGATCAAAAGATTTGCGCCACCGCGATCCGTTCCTGGACTATCGTCTAGCGGTGTTACCGATCCCGCGATCGCGATCCCGAATCCAGATGTCTACGTTGGGGAAGTCTTCGTAGACCATATGTGGCGTCTGCAATGGACGATCGGGGTAAAGTATATTCCCTGGCATTGCGTATTTGAGTAGGTATACGGTATCTGAACGCTTCAACTCCCGCACCAGGCGAGAAACCGCTATTATTACTCTTCCGCCGCGTCCGGTTCATTCCTTCACGCATACCCAACAACATCTAACCGTAGGTGTATCCCATGTTCGGTGCGCCTCCAGGCCCTGGTGCTGTCATCATAGGATTCATAGGACCAACCGGCACATTGGGCATTTCCGCATTCGAGAACTCAAATCCGGCCGCCCAGTCGTAATCGGGAAATTGATCAAGCATTGGCGGCACTCCATAGTCTGGACCTTCCCAGGCATCGAAGCTCATTACGGACGGGTCTTGTTGCATCTGAGGATTCACCAAGCTGGGGTCGAATTTGGTCACCGGGAGTTGTTGCTGTCTCATCGATGGATCCGGAAGTTGCTGCTGGTGCTGCTGTGGGTGCTGTTGTTGTTGGGATGGGTATTCTGACATGTTTGTTAGTTAAGAGCCCGTCAGACTTGACGTAAGATGCTTACGAGGTGGGTTCTGTTGGACATTCTCGTGTGAAAGAGTTACTTCATCGCCGTACGGATTCTTCATGTTGCTGAACTCTTCTCGCCAGTACCAGAACATGTCGTAGCTAATGCTCATGCTCAATCGCGTCCTCAACCTCAGATATAGCGATTCCACACGGCCATCCTTCTTACGGAACACCTTGTCGCTACCCCACAAATCCTTCATGATGTGCGCAGTTCGGAAATGGATATCTCCTGGTTGTAAAGAGACGTTCTTGAGAAAATCATACGCCTGTGAGAAAGCTCGCTCGCCCGCAAGTACATCTAGATGTTGAGCAAGCGGACTTCGAACGAGTCTAAGAATGGTAAACCCAGCCAGAGTAATAGTTCGGTCAATGAATGATTGCGAGACAGAGGGTAGGAAGATCTTTTGTGTCGTCTGCATTGTCGAAGCGGACTGGATAACTGAGATGCAAAGGGAATAGAATCGTGAAAGACCCTCGGCATCGGGTCCAGGGTTCGTAGGGTGGGCGAAGAAATGGAACGCCATTACGTGAATACGTGCACAGCTAAGTTGCAGGGTGTCTATTTTGTTAGTTCAAGTTTCGAAAGAGCCGGGTCAGACTTACCGAGTTCACTTGGAGAGGATGGGGCCAAGCTGAGGAGTTGCGAGTCGAATATGCCAATCAATGATCGTAATACACGGACATCACAATGAATGGATTGTAAGTTGGTCTTGCCCATGGCAACCATGGCACGCATGAGGATGATGTAGACTTTATGCAGGAACTGCAGGTCAGACGGGAGGTATGGAACCATGTCTTCACGGTCTTGTTCATCGCCATCGAAGAATGACTCAGCAAGAGGTGGTATACCTTCAACACAGCTCGTTCTAGATACGGTCAGCGTATGTCACAGTATTACTTGTTTGGAAGACCTCACCTTATGGAAACGATGACGCAACACAGCCAGAGCCTGGCGCGTTGCACCTTGAGTGACTGGTCCTTCTCAAGCGGCGTCCTAGCAAAATCCTGGCCAACACCTGCTATGTGCAGACCAATCTGTGTCGCTAGATGCACTGCCGATCCACACATGAGGTGTGTCGTATCTTTGTACATTGAGTTGGTGGGTAGTCGCCATGTGCACAGAATTAGTAGACCTTGGATGATCGGAACTTGTGAGGTGCGTAGCGCCATTGAAGAGAATGCGAGCTGGGTGATGGGTTGGCTCGTCCTCTCTAGGACTTCATGTTCAGAGTACCGCCGCGATCCCGTGACCACGATAGTCCAAAACAAGAACGGCGATTGGTCATAATAGTCATTCGGCCCTATTGAAGGGTCCAAGATAGGAAAGAGCGGATGGTATTGGGTGAAGTAACTGCGGTCATGTTAGCATAGATAAGAATGCCACCCTAAGTCAACGTACATGGTGAAGCAATCGTCAATTCTCTTTGAATCGAGCAGGTAGCCGTCAATCACGCGCGGTACCGTGCCATGATGATCGGAACCTTTTCGTGTCGGCGGCCGCGAGTCGAAAGCTGGTGACATGGAATCTGATGCATCTGTCCTTCCGGAAGGATCAGAATATGTGCCCGAAGCGTGTTCAAGCGGAGCGTAGTTTTGCATGTCGACGGTCGGCGATGCTGTCGATTGCGGGTAGTTTGCATCGCCAGGATTCTGCCCCTGCCTCATATTCCATCGCAACTCTTCCAATTCGCGTCGCATCTCTGCCTTTGTTTGGCGCAGGTTTCTGGTTGATGTGGGAAGAATGCGGCATTCGAGGCCCATCTTCTTGCAGCGGCCGCATGGGTCATGCGGTACCTTGTGCTGCTCGACATCACATCGGATCTGGCAAAAAAATGATCAGTAAACCATCTTCGCCATTGCGGACGTTGTCGCGATGCATTGAGGTGGGGAAGTACCTTTTGCTGTCGGCACTCGACACATGCCTTCCGTCGCGGAGTGGTCATGCTGGCCTGATTCATCTAGTAGGTATCCACAGGGAGTTGGCGAGCGGCAAGCATAGACTACTATAGTATTCCGCGTCTCAATCGGCGAAAAAAGGCATATAAGAAGGTGTAAGGTAGGAACTTCGCCATGAACTGAAGAACCACACTCGCGATTAGCACCTACGTCGTCATCAGGGCCTGTTGCAGCGGTGCGAATCGGATGGCGGGGGAATGGGACCGAGTAAAGGACCGATGGTGATCCTTTTCTCAGCAAGCACGTCTCAAAGTTTTTTTCTCAGCTTCCCTTGGCTTCTCGCCCTGTGCTAAATGTTTCTCTTAATAATGTGCCATGCTAGACGACGCTCGTGCGCAATGAGGCTAACAGGCTTTGTTGTCTGTGTGGAAGGAATGCATGTCGAGACGCACGCGATTTTCATCGGGACCCACTTTCGCGCCTAAGCCCATGCGGACCTAGTGTTTTGCGTAATGCTGTCTGAGCACTGCACTACTTGCATGGCCTGCCGCCATGTCATGTCGAGTGAACGCATCTCTTACACTGTCACCCAAACAGTCCATCTGTTGGGCACTCAAGCTTTTGTGATCACCGTGGCGCAGCCGTTTTGCCACACTAGCTGGCGAGCCAGCCACGGCGGCCCTTCTCTCCGCCGCTGCTCTTCACCATCAACCACCTCGCTCTGCCAGCCCTCAAACGTGTTTGGTGGGTCGAGTCAATGCAGTCGTACCTGATCCTCATCTTGGATGACACCCCTTGCCCAGATCGGGCCTAGCAGGCACGAACGTCCCAGTAGCTTCACTCCAAGGGCGGGCGCTACCCATCCGGTGTCGACGGCTCAAGTTCGCGTTTAGAGTTCGTACGAAGCCACTTTGCCAGGCATTCGACTCCGGCATTGCACTCGTTGCGCCACATCGAAGCGAATGCGACGTGAGGAGGGTTGTGTGCCATGACAATGCGTCTGTGGCTGCCGCCTGATTCCGCCTCAAAAGCAATGAACGACAGCGGGATTTACTGACTCTAGCACCTTCACACGTGGACTACCGACGCTCATAGCTCTGCCTTGGCCTCCTGCAATTCCCAATGATCGTCCAACACATGATCGCTGTGCGCCAGCCGCTTGCTCGGAACGGCAAAGCTGCCTCGCTATCATAACCAGCTCACGACACTCGTCTCGCTGTCCAAAACAGCTCATTCCACTTCACCGACTCCAAGCGCGCACATGGTTCCCCTGGTCCTGGCGAGACTCACCATCCCCACACACACTCCTTCCTTTCTTCCATGCCTTCTAGCTCAGGGTCTCTCCGCAAGCCACCTCGCCTTCGTAGGCAAGTCGAGCGTCCATCCCCACCAGCTCCGCGGAAGACAGATGCAGCGCAGATCGCAACGGACTTGCAGATCAGCTACACCAAGTAACCTCATCCTACCCATGGCCAATGAGCGTGTGACATCGCTATCTACCGCATATCGCGTACCAACAGCCAGCAGCGCACACAATTGTAAAGGCGGAGCAGGGCGGGGATGCCGGGGAGGATTCTCGGAAGAGGAAGTATCCATCCTGTCTGCATTAGATTAAGCACAGCCCGTGTGGTGAAGACGCTCGGTCGGGTTTTGCGTCCAAGTCCGCAAAACAGAAGTCGTATCGTAGGACTTGCATGTACCTTGCAAGCTGCGACAACTCCAGACTCCGGAGATTTTCTCGTGACGTTGTCTAGCCACGTTCCTTTGTTTGCTTTTTCGAGGCGGAGTAACGGAACTCGGAGCCTCGATCGAACCCACATGGCACAATGTAGGGAACGGTACCGCTTGCTTTTCCCTCAGTTCTGGGCCACTACCTCGCCGTTCCTGGAGCAGTCGCGTGTCTACCGAAGTGAGGGTGTGGGTTAGGTCCCGTCGACCGAGGAGAAACACAGATACCGATAATTTCTCCCGTGGAGTAAGTGGTGCCACGAGACACACTCACGGTGCAGCTCCTTTCGCTACCACTGAACACACACATCGATTACATCTCGAGACATTTCAAAAGACTCCTGATCCACTGCAGTAGGAGCATTCTGCATGCGAATGCAAATCTCTACACAGCCTCCTCTAGATTGCATCTCGAGGTGCCTCCTACCACGATTATGGCACACGACGTCGTATGGAAATCTCCGCTTGCGCTGTTGTCCGGATGGCTCCATGAATCAGCTGCCAATGTAGGTGTACGTACATGGCGCAAAGAGCGCTTAGCTTACCCGGTGGGTCGACCCTTCAGCACCCAGATACTGCGCAAACAAGGAAACGAGTCCAGAACCACAATATGGTCGGCGTCCAGATAACGCCTCTCATTGCAAGATACTGCGCAGGCAAAGGAGGCAGATCTAGAGCCGACATATCGACCGTCTCAAATCAACGCCTCTCCCACTGGATTAAGAGTCTAGAACTATCAAGTCGGCGAAGGGAAACAGGAATATTGACAGTGTATCTCAAATTACAGATCTCGTGATCCCTCAAGCTTTGCCCCAACCCAAGTGACGAGGTTCGCTACCAGCAACGCAACGAAGGACGTATGAACATCGGCGAGGTCTTTCGGAATGCAGACTTCAGCTTCCCTCAAGTTTTGCCTCCACCAAGGTTACCAAAGTACGTCTTCGATGACCAGCTCGAACCAAGGCCAGGCCCCAGTCTGGGTCAAATGCGCCTTCTCTTCTTCGCCTCCACCACGATGTTGAGGAGAGCCTCGGTACCAGCAACCGAATGAAGCCACTCAACAAAAGCTGCGAGTATCCAACAAACAGCCGAATGATACAAGGTAAAGGATGTTCAGGGAGGACCCAGAGAGACATCATTTGCAACTCACAAGCCAGCAACAGAGAAACAATAATCATCGTAACAGATTTGTTCATCGATATCAATCTACTCGTCGTAAAACGCAAATGAAATGGTATAAGAATACAGTATAAAAAAAAAGGAAAAGTCGAGCCAACTTCTAACAACAGTAGACATCCAGCAAAAAAATGCGTACCGTTCATCCCTCCCTCGCATCTAAATTTCGTTCAGAGCACCTCTCCCACTCCCATCTTCTCATCTCATACTCATACCCCTCTCATCCTCTATATCACAACCACCTTCTTACAACCTAAGACCACGACGCATCTTCCTCGCCTTCGCCGCAGCACCAACATCCTCCGCACCACCATCCGGGTTGGTAACCGCACCAGGGAATCCAACAAGCTCGTTAAACTGATCAGCAAGCGCCTTGTTCCTGTCTCCGCCCTGAACAGCCGCAGCAGCGCTCTCGCAAGTAGCCACAGCAGCCTCGTTGGCTTCGCACACGTTGGTCAGCTGGTTGCAGAGCGCGTTGGTGATGATGTCCGGGTTGAGGGCTTCGCCTTGGCCGCCGCGCGCGAGCGGGTCCGCGATCTGGAAGGTGAATTCGTCGGCGGGGCGCCCGTTCTCGCCGCCTTGGAAGGTGATGGTGGGCGTGCAGAGACCGAAGTCTTCGGCGCCGCCGGCACCGCCTGCTGCTGCGTTGCCTGCGTCGGCACCGGCATCGGCACCGGCATTGTTGTTTCCGGCAGCGGCGTCTTGCTGGTTGTTTGCGTTGTTACCGGCGTTGGCGTTGTTGTTGTTCTGGTTGCCGGCATTGGCGTTATCGTTACCGGCGGCGGCATCTTGCTGGTTGTTGGCGTTGTTTCCAGCGTTGTTGTTGGCGTTTCCAGCGTTGTCAGCTGCGTTGTCGTTGCCGGCGTTGGCATTGTTGTTCTGGTTCTGGTTGTTGTTGGCATTGCCAGCGTTGTTGTTACCAGCCGCAGCATCGTTGTTGTTACCAGCATTGGCGTTGTCGTTCTGGTTGTTCGCGTTGTCGTTACCAGCAGCGGCATCGTTACCAGCAGTAGCGTTACCAGCGTTGTTGTTCGCGTTGCCGGCATTGGCAGCTCCGTTACCAGCATTGGCATTGTTGCCAGCGTTGGCGTTGTTACCAGCATTGGCGTTGTTACCAGCATTGGCGTTGTTACCAGCGTTGGCGTTGTTACCAGCGTTGGCGTTGTTACCAGCGTTGGCGTTGTTACCAGCGTTGGCATTGCCGTTACCAGCAGCCGCCTGGTTGCCACCCTGAGCAGCACCGTCGGCAGCAGCACCGCCCGCAGCAGCACCACCAGCGGCAGCACCACCAGCCGAAGCCTGGCTAACAACGAGGTCACCGAGACCAGCCTGGTCCATGAGGTCAAAGACACTCAGACCATCAGCGGCAAGAGGAGACGCAGCACTGCTGGCGCTAAGGGCAGCAGCATCACCGTTGACATCGACGTCAGGGTCGATGAGAGGAGTAATACCACGAAGCTCAGCAGTAGCCGGAAGCGAAGCATCGCCACAGACGTTCTGTGCGTTGCCGCCAGCGAAGGGGTTGGTGTTCTTCTCCGCAGTCACCATACCAATGGCAGCAGCAAGGGCATCAGCACCGCCACCGAGTTCAGTGAAGATCTGATCAGCACGGACGAGCTGGTGTGTTTGTTAGCCTGAGACCCGGAGATGTGGAGGTCGGGTAAACAAGTGGAGAAGCACATACCTTATCGCAAGAGTTTGCTCCACCGAGAAGGTCAGAG